GGTCCTCACCCACTACCAAATGTGTCTACTCTGGAAATGCTTTTCATGAACCTTCGAGGAAGCTATGGAGTCTATGAAGAAATCGGGAGAGTTTGTTTTGGCCGAGTCGGGCAAGTGGCAGTCGCCCTATGCCTCTACGGTGGCATTTTCTCTATCTGCGCCCTCATCATGATTTTACTAGGCAGTTCCCTCCACAACTTGGTGCCCTCGCTGAGCCGATCACTATGGATTGTTATTACTGTGGCATTGATGTTACCCTTTGCATGGTTACCTAGTCTTAAACGTGTTGGAATTATTGCGGCTATAGGTGTTGGCGCTACTGCAGTTGTCGCTGTATCGGTGATTATCGCGGGTGCTCGTGAGGCTGTCAGCTCTGACCACGTCCACGTGCTGGGTCCGCAAGGTGTGGGTGGTTTGGGTTTATCATTCACCAACTTCATGAATAGTTTTACATGTGCGCCGGTGATACCAAGCTTAGTGGTCGAAATGAAGAACCCTGTCACGTTCCCGAGAGTTGCCCTGTGGTCGTTTTTAACAATTACAGTCGTATTTGGGAGCATTGGTTTTGCTGGTTACGCGGGCTGGGGGATCGACATGCTCAAGTTCGATCTGATCGTTGACGCTGTTGCCTCGTCGGCTGGTCGCGGCGATTGGGTAAATTACATAGTTCAAATATCAATTCTGGTAGTGTCATTTACGCATTTGTTGGTTTTATTCGCGCCTTTGGGTAAAGCAAACGATCGTATAGTGTCTCATTTTTTCAAGGGTAAACGTGTGTATTGGACGTTGTCTCTTGTGGGGCGGACGGTTGTATTTCTCGCTGCTATGGGGTTAGCATTGCTGGTGCCAGGATTCGGTGCGTTATTCAACATCGTTGGATCTACCATAGTAATGTTTTTACAAATTCTGTTTCCTAGTACATTTTTCTTGAGATTGTTGTATCTGGGATCGAAAAATGGCATCGCTTCGCCGTTCATGTCGAAAACACGTGAGAAGGTTCACATTGGTACGGTGGTTGCGTGTATCTGCCTTGGTCTTTTCGGCCTAGTGTTGGGAACTTACCAAGCTATCGATGCATTGGCATCGAAATAACTAGCGTAGGGTAATACTAGACGGTCTTAGTTGTATATCAATTCTACCCTGCAAGGTTTCAGGCCGGTTCCCTGGGGAAGGTTCAACAATGTGTTGTGTTATCTGTAGTGTCTAATATAGCGTCCATCGATATGGGTGTTTCAGTGGAGTTTCACAACTCGTTTTACGTGAAGTGTTGTGAAAGTTGGTGATATGCAGGAGTTGTGAAATACCTTTATCACTGGTGTTTTCATATCACTAGGGTTAAAAGTGAGTGTAAGGGAACTGGTTGGAAGAGTTTTGATATTTTGTAGTATTAGGCCTTCGTGACGAAGGGGAGGAGCTCACTGAGTCCGCGTCCATGGATGAATTTTACATAGGTCCCTGGATCGATCCCCGGGTAGGACATTTTTCTGTCATTAACGTTCCGCTCGCTCTGCAATTCTTGTGGGATAATATGCACATGGTCAACTACATGTGTTGAAAATTTTCTGAGAAAATTTTGGGAAAATTTTCTTTTTTTCTGAATTGGTATATATTTTCCTATGAAGGAACTTCTGGGCTCAGCTGAGAAAACCCAAAACATATATATATGTTGTAGTTGTGAACTAAAATGATGTTATTAATCAATACAGTGTTCGTTGTTCCTGTTACTATGGCAACTCTAAGCAGTGATGAATTGCCCACGAAGTTCGTTATTAATACTAACGGTTGTTCAACATTTCGAGCAACTGCTAATTTGGTGATGACTGCAGTTGGTGTTGGAGTCCTTGCCTTACCAAACGCAGTAGCATTAGCTGGTTGGGTTGTTGGGCCTCTACTACTACTGCTAGCCTGGGCGTTAACACATTTTATGATGTGTTTGTTGTGGCGGTGTATGTACATGAATCCAGAGGGGAGTCGATTTGAATCTTATGAGGCTATAGGAAGACGGTGCTTTGGTATTCCTGGGCAAATTGCAGTTGCTGTTTGCCTATATGGAGGTATATTCTGTATATGTTCGCTGATGATAATTCTCCATGGGTGATACCATGACTAAC